TGCCACAACTTTTCTTACCCTGATAAAACAGTAGCAAGTTATTGGAGACTAGCAGCTTCTACCAGACTAGATTGTGGCCTCAGGTAAGTCTCATGGCCTCTCTAGGCTTGGAGATAATGCTATCTTACCACAAACAAGTTGTATTAACTGAAGTCTCTGATGCAAAGGATCTAGCACAGAGCCTGGAATATACTATACATAACCTCCCCTTCCCTGTTCCTGCCTCCAGATATTCTGGAATGTGTGGCAGTAGCTCGCATGCTCTCAAATGTGGCCACAGCTCCTGCAGCCTGTGTCTGAGTGCTTTGTCTATGCAAACTCACAGGATCATGCTGAAACTTCTTACCAGAACTTCTGAACCAGACCTCAGGGTAGTAGAGTAACTCACAGTGACATTTAAAGAAGAAATAATGCCACTATCACACAAACTACCCCTTGGAGTCCATGCATTATCCCATTCTATTCCTGCACAACCCCAGGCCATAGGAACTATTATCCTGACTGACATATTTGGAAACTGAGGTTCAGAGAGGTTAAGCAGCTTGCCCAAGGTGACATAGATAGTAACTGGCTGAACTAGGATCAGATCCCAGTCTATTTGGCTCCAGGTCCTTGTGTCCTGTAATCAGCATGGTACAATAGTGAGGGATTTCCCTGTTTGAGGTGTCTACTCACTGCCCGTTGACGGAACCTATTGTCAAAAGATCTCAGGGAGGAGTGGGCCCATGAAGGAAGCCTTTTCCCAGGTGAGGAGACTCAGCTGAGCTTTGGGGACTGTGAGATGCTGATTACAGTTGTTACCAGGCAGGCAACCTAGGAAGACGCCTGGAGCCTGGAGACATGATGTGAGTCATAGCCTTGAACTTGCCTGCACACTCCTCATATTGCCCCAGCCTCAAGGGCAGACCGCCAGGACCAGATGGGAGTGGGGACAGCCCTGGACTCTGGCCAACAGCTCTGAAAAGAAAAAGCTTCTTCGTAAGCTGCAGTAAATCCTTAGGGTTAATTGCAGCCTGAACGTTCATTTCAAAGACCTCACTTCCTGAATCCCAGGAGCATCCAGGAGAATGGGACCAAGGTGGCCCAGCCCAAAAAAGCAAGACATGAACACTGTCTCAAACTGTACGTTCTCAAGGATAAAGAGGGCCCCTACTAGCAAGACAAATGGGTGGCCCCTATGATCCTGGAGGGGCTGAGTACAGGGGAAGGATGGCATAGGAGACTCCCACCAAGAAGGCAGTGATCCTGGGCTTGGACGCCCACTCTCTGCCGGAGAACCCACCCTGGCCTGGCTTCAGGAGCCCTCCAACCTTCACCCTCAAGCCACTTGACCTCCACCTACATCCAGCACTGCTCCCTGGGGGAAGGCAGGGGTGTGACTTCTTGGTAGTCTCATCTGGCCTGTCTCCCCCAGGAGTGGGAGCTCCCCGAGGGGAGGGCTGTTGCAGGCCCCTTCTGGACTTCAGTTCCTGCAGTGGTCCCCCAGTTACGCTTCCCCACTAAGTGGCTGACGGAGCATTTGCCCAGCATCGCGATTCCTTTAGCCCAGAACCCTCCCTGAGCAGGCCCAAGATATAGAAACGGTCCAGCGTTGGCCTTTGACCGGAGAGAACAGGGTGAGGGGGAGACCCAGGCGCGGACTCCTGCGGGGGTCTGGGTGGGCCCGGTGACGTCAGTTCTGGTTCTCCAGTGAAGTAGACCAGTTTCAGGGCTGCCCCCAACTTGCTGTGTGATCCAGGGACATTTGCTTAAACTCTCTGAGCCTCATCTTTCCTTCCACACGATAGGGAGACGATCTTGCCTTTGGGAGAATGACTTGAAGTAAATCACTCCGACCCCCTAGACGGAGAGGAAGGAGCGAGAGAATTTCTGCCATCCCACGGGACCCAGCACAGAGGAGGCGGCTCCCCCAGCTTATTAACCACAGACCAGGTGTGCGCGCCCAAACTCACCGGCAGAGGGCGCCAGGCCTCCGCTTGGTGCTTGAGCCTCGAGACCCAGAAAAGGTACCTGGTCCCCAGAGGTCTGAAATCGCTGATTGTGTTTATTCAAAGCCAGTCACCATTGCTCACCCGTCTGACTTCCTCGGGGTGTGTGTGGACGGGTGTGCGTGTGACCGCGTCTGTGCACCGGGGAAGGTGCTGTGGGTTTTGTGCTGAGCCAGGGGTGGGGCTTCTCCTGTCCGCCAGGTCCTGGGCTCCCGGCAGTGGCCGGCAGGGGCGGTGCCGATGCTGCAGGAGGGTCAGGAGCCACTGTCTCCTGCTCAGCCCCACGGGAGCCACTCTGTGTGCCCTGCAGCAGGAAGGACCCACCAGGTAGACCACCTCCTTGGCCGATGACCCCTGCAACAGAGCCGTCTCTCCGGTGCTCCTGCTAGCCAAGTCAGTGTGAGGTCCGGACGGAGGAAGCCCTGCTTGTTTCTCTGTTCAGAGGAAAGGAGTCAGGGGATTATAAAATAGGCCTTAGGTTCTTGGACAAGAAGACAAAACCAAACCAAACTTAGGTTCTTGGACAAGAAGACAAAACCAAACCAAACCAAAAGCCTGGTGAGATCACTGTCTTACCCAGACGCAGGTGATTGCTCAGGTCGGATCAGCCAGCTTGGGCTCTGATACCTGCAGGGCCAGGTGGGGCCCATGCACAGGGGAAGGGGGTTAGCATGGCCTCTGCCTGGGACTCCCAGCCTGAGGGGGCAATGCATCCTCACCCCAAGAGACAACTGTTTGCAGGATGATACTCCCCAGGATAGTCAGGCTGGTCTGGGAGGTAGCCTGTGGCCACACAGGGTGGAGAAAGCGAACACAAACTGTGAAGCAGACAGGGCTAGCGGACGCCCCTCCCATCTGCCCTGTCAGCATCCCCTTTTTGCTTCTCCACTTCCCAGAATCACCCTTTTCATAGACACTTACACATAGATGACCACCATGTGATCATCCTTCCCAGGCTGAGGGTACCGACAGGAGCTGGCAGAGCAGGGAGGGTGCTGGGCAACTAGTACAGGATCATGAACCCTGGGGAAGGCTCCTGATGGTGGTAGGTGGCCGAGGAGGCGGGGCACCAACAAAGGCTTCCAAGACCCTGAAGGAGGCGAGGCACGCTGAGTCTTAAGGAGCCAGAGGCATCATCTTATCAGGTGACAGGAGTGAGGCCCCATGGCAATGCCTGCTGTGGAGGGGCCAGTGGGCTAGGCAGGCACCCACAGCAGCTGTGGTAACTTCGGGCAGACTATAAGGCAGTTTACGGTTTGCTGAGTTATTTTACAAACGCTTATTCTGTGAGGTTGGTAGAAAAATGAAGCTCAGAGAGGTTAGGTAACTTGTCCCAGGACACACAGCCAGGACTTTTGCCTGTATATCCCAAGCTGTAGCCTGAACTGGCTCCTTAGGTAGCCTCTGCCCCTCCCACCACCCCAACTCCCTGAAGCAGAACCTCGGTTAGAGTGGCAGGGCCCGTCTTGTTTTGACAGTTCTAGAACTTGTCTTTGTTTTATTTTTCAGGTGACCAGAATTGGTTAACACCTACAGGCCTGGCTCACCCAACCAAACATACAGTAGGTGGGTGAATGGATAAACAGAACGCCACTGTGACCGCTTGCAGTGAGCTCCAGTCCATTTAGAAGGCTGGTGTCAGGAATTGGCTCAAGTCATCCATTCCCTCCTGGTGATGCTGGGCAAATGCAGAACCAGAGCAAATAGAGCCAGCCTTTCTCAAAGGATTCCTCAATCTGTCAGACTGGGCTACAGAAATGCGTGACATGCCGGAAAGTGTCAGGGAAAGTGCGGCTCAGGAGTGACCTGGATTGTAATCTTAGCTCTACCAGTTCTTAACAACATGTCCTTGGCAGGTCGCTTAAGCCCTGGCCTGTTCATCTGATACGTGGAGATGATCATAGAACATTCTAGAGAGTTGCTGGGAGGAGCATACAGATGATGTGCTGTGCAATGACTAGGTCCAGGCAGATGCAACATAAACAGTAGCTCTTGCTATTACTGGGCAGCTGGGTGACTTCCCTGTCTACAGAAGGCATATTTATAATGGTCACTGTCTGCATGCTCTTCTTCTTCACCCCGGTCAGCCCTGGGTCCTCTCACAAGCCCTTGCTATTCCTCAAGCCCTTCCCTTATCACAGTGTCTCTCCAGTCAGGCAGGTGCCAAATAATCCACTGGGCTACAATTTGATTTAGTGACATTCTTTTTTCTTTTCTTTTCTTTTTTTTTGAGATAGAGTCTAGCTCTGTCGCCCAAGCTGGAGTGCAGTGGCATGATCTTGACTCACTGCAACCTCCACCTCCTGGGACTACAGGCACACACCATCATTCATGGCTAATTTTTGTATTTTTTGTAGAGACGAGGTCTCACTGTGTTGCCCAGGCTGGTTTCTCAAACTCCTGGGCTCAAGCGATCTACCCGCCTTGGCCTCTCAAAGTGCTGGGATTAGAAGTGTGAACACCGTGCCCCGCCAACTGAGTGCCATTCTTACCCTAAGGGTGCAGAGCACTCAACTCGAGGGAGATGTTTTCTGGTTCTTAGAGTGGATTTGAAGATACTATATCTCACTTCCCTCAGCCACATGCCTTCCCTGAGTGACACGTTTCCCAGGTGACAGGTTTCCAAGTCTGGGGGACCTGGGACAACAGCCTGATACTGCCACTTGCCACAGTGTGTGACCTTGGGCATGTTTTTTGCCCTTATGGAATCCCAGATTCCTTACGTGTCAATCGGGGCACATTCAGCCACAGAACTGGGAGAGGATCCCAGCGTTAAAGTGTCTAACGCCAGGCCCAGTGTGAGGAGGGACTCGGTAAGTGATAATTGTCTCATAGTCATGACACTGATGCTGGGTTTTAGACGTTTCAAATTTAGAGATTTTACCGAGCCCATGGGAGAGAAAGATCAACTTCACAAACAGGGCTATGGGGCAGGTTCCCCGCAGGCGTCTGAACCAGGTTAGCTGAGTCCCTCGGCTCCTTGGCCTCAGCTCTGTCTCTGATCCTGCTAGTATGAACTGCCGGTGGAGAAGGGGGAGATGGAGGAGGACGCTCCCAGAGTGATCTGCTTCCCCCATTTCCTGCAGACTGGTTTCTTACCTGGAGACCTGAGGGACCAAGGAACTGAGGCCAGAGCTGCCCAGAGGAATCTGAAGATTTGGGGTTGGTGGGTGGAGAAGAGGGTGTGGGGTGCTGCTTGGGCCAGGAGGATGCAAGCCTTTTGGAAGAGCCTTTCTTCCCCCCAGATGGCCCCTTCCAAACCTCTACCCCACCCACACTTTCTACACAAACCTCTGAAGGAGAGAAGCAGCCCCCAAACTGGTCTTCTTGAAGATACCCCAATTCAGGTTCACCCTCCAAGAAAGCGCACTCCTAAGAAAGCCAGCTCCTATCTGTGCTCTGGTTGGAAGACTGCTGTGGATGACATGAACACGAACAGCCTTAGAACATCAGGATCCCCCAAACTGTGCTTCACACACAGCTCACGGATGTCCTTCACAGCTGGCACTTCCATCCCTGCTCATCACCATCCTGTGGGTTAGCAGAGCAAATGTTTCTATTCCCATTTTACAGACCAGGGAACTGGGTCCCGGGAAGGAAGGGGCCTGCTGAGGTCACACGGCCTATCCTTCACACTAGAGTACATGGAGAACAGGACTTGTGTCTCCCAGGGTGGCCCCTGATGAACCGAGGGCCCAGGAGGGTGTTTGGCTGACTCGAGTGCTCAGCTCAGCTGCCTGGTGAGATGTACCAAGTCCTAGTACTTTAGAAGGGTGGGAGACAGCCAGTGCCTGGAAACAACACCCTGGCCACCCCCAGCCAGGCCCTGACCTGCTGGATGGGGCTCAGACTCAGGAAGAGCTGCTGGAAACCCAAGTTCCCCCTTGGCTAGGAACGGAAGGGTTTGGAAGCGCTTGGGGAGGAACCTGCCCTCAGTACTTACCTGTGGGAGTCTGGGGTTTCCCTCTGTTTCCTTGTCCCTCTGGGTTTTTGCGTTACTTTGTTTTTGGTTTTCTTTTTCTTTTTCTCCAAGGCTGACAATAAAAGGGGAGGCAGTGGTATGAATTTCTGAGCTGGAAATCTGGAAGGGAAACTGAGCTAGACTCTGATGTGTATCACATTAATCCTGTGTAACATTTCTCACAGATCTGCCCGTGCTGTGTCTTTGAAAATTGTCAGGGCTAGCCAAGGTGGGTGGATCACCTGAGGTCAGGAGTTCAAGACCAGCCTGGCCAACATGGTGAAACCAAACCCCGTCTCTACTAAAAATACAAAAATCAGCCAGGCATGGTGGCGTATGCCTGTAATCCCAGCTACTCGGGAGGCTGAGGCAGGAGAATCGCTTGAACCTGGGAGGTGGAGTTTGCAGTGAGCCAAAATCGCATCACTGCACTCTAGCCTGGGCGACAGAGTGAGACTCTGTCTCGAAAAATAGAAAAAAAAATTGTCATGGTTTGAACCCATACTTGGTGGCTCCATCTCTGTCTCTGACTGTCTATCTGCCTCTGCCTCCCTCTGTCTCTGCCCATTTCCTGTGTCTGTCTTTGTCTCTACGTGTGTGTGTACAAATACATATGTGTGTGTGTGTGTGTGTGTGTGTGTATTCTGTCTTTCTCTGTTGCTATCTCTCCCCTGACCAATCTGATCTGAAGGATCACAGAGCTGGATGGGACAAGGGTCACCATCTCATCCATTCACAGCCTTTGATCAAGATGATCTGTGAACCATTGGATGTGGGTTAGGTTTTGAAACAAACTTCCTCTTTCCACCCATTGGGGCATCAGTTCATGCTCAGCTTGGGTTTAACAGTCTCCAAATTTCCTCCTTGAGCCAAATTCTTACCCTTCCTGCTGCCGTTGGGACACTTGCTTTGGTGTCCTGTGGGGAGTAATGATAAGGCAGAGGTCACAGTCCTGGCCCCCACTCAGCCTTGCCTGCGGCCAGTGAAACTGGTGTTTGCCGGCGGTCCTGGCCAGGAGAGAGGAGGAGGGGCAGAGGCAGCTGGGGAGTGTGAGCAAGATGCCGCGGGGGCCCGGGGGAGACTGCAGCCAAGTGCTGTGTCTGAGGATATTTATAGACGGACACACAGAAAGACACGCACGCAGGGACAGAGTACAGTTTGTTTCCTGGAAACATGGACTGTTCTCTCAGTCCTACCAGATTTCCGAGGGAGCGTCATGCTGAAATAGGGAAAACTGTGTCTGCTGTCTGGTGTCCACCCTCCACATAAGGAGAGATCTGATTGGCTCCACTCCCCCTTGGTAACTGCAACGACTGCCCCTGGCCTGGGGAAGCCCTTTCCAGGCATTCCTGACTGCCCTGCTCATTTCTCTGTCTCATCTCACCTCCCAGGCCTCCTCGAGCTGCTCCCGCAACAAGACACTGCACCAGTGCTTGCCCTTCTCAGGGCCTTGCCTCTGCCCCTCCTGGCCTTTGCACACACAGCTCCGTCTGCCAGGAATGCTTTTCCATCCATTCCTACTCTTCTGGCAAAGCCCTACTCATCATCTGCCCACACGTCACCTCCTCTGAGGGGTCTTTTCTCACCTCTCCTCTGAGAGCTTAGGACTTTGCACGGTTATATCGCTGTTGTTATTTCTATTTACCTCTGTCTCCGCCTCCAAACTGTAAATTCCTCAAAGTCAAGGACTTTCTCTTACTCATCTTTGCATCCTCAACATGTAGACCAGTTCCCAAAGCAGAGCTGATGAGCAATGGAGAATTGTTGAATGAATGGATGAGATTTTTACAGCGTAGCTGCTAAGAGTTCAAGGTCCGTGTTCAGTGGAAGATTTGGTTTAAATACCAGCTCTATGTGAACTTAACCTGGAATTAGAAAACAAAACAAAACAAAAAACAAAAATAAATAAATGCCAGAGCTCTGCCTCTTGCTAGCTGTGTGATTTTTCCAGTCACTTGGCCTCTCTAAGTGATTCCACGTCTATAAAGTGGGCTATAACAATAGAACTTTGCGAAGGCCGGGTGCAGTGACTCACGACTGGAATCCCAGCACTTTGGGAGGCAGAGGCGGGCGAATCACAAGATCAGGAGATTGAGACCGTCCTGGCTAACATGGTGAAACCCTGTCTCTACTAAAAATATAAAAAATTAGTCAGGCATGGTGGCAGACGCCTGTAGTCCCAGCTACTCGGAGGCTGAGGCAGGAGAATGGCGTGAACCCAGGAGGCGGAGGTTGCAGTGAGCCCAGATCGCGCCACTGCACTCCAGCCTGGGCGACAGAGCGAGACTCCATCTCAAAAAAAAAAAAAAAGAAAAAGAAAAAAGAAAAATGCAGTAGAACCTTGCTTATCTGATTAACGTAAAATTTCAACGACATTACATATTCACATAGTTATTCACATAGCGCCTGGCACACATGGGTTTTTCTCACAACCCACATTTTGTCAGCCAACCCTGTAGATTCCTCCTTTAAAATGTCCAGTCTCTTCTTACCTTCCAACTGCCAACAACCCAAACCAAACCACTACCATTTCCCACTGACACCCAGCTCTCACTTATTTCCAGCACAGCTGTCAGAAACAGTCTCTTAAAAATATGTCACATCATCTGACTCCTCTGCCAAAATTCTCCTCGACCGCTCCTTCTCACTAAGAGGAAAAGCCCAGGTCCTCATCATTCTCATCATGGCCTATGACGCCCTTTAAGATGGTGTCCCCCACCACCTCTGACTCCACCTCTTTGCTTCCTCCCCTGCTCCCCTGTCTCCAGCCGCATGCCACTCTGCCCCAGTGCCTTTCTATGTGCCATTCCTCAGCTTGGAATTCTATTCCTTCAGAATCCTCATGCCTCCCTCAAAAGCTACTTTCTCCATGAGGCCCTCCCTGGCTGTCCAATCTAAACTTTCAATCATATGCTCACTGTTGACACCCTCTTTATTTTTATTTTTATTTTTTTTTGAGATGGAGTCTCGCTCTTGTTGCCCAGACTGGAGTGCAGTGGTGGGATCTCAGCTCACTGCAGCCTCCGCCTCCCAGGTTCAAGCGATTCTTCTGCCTCAGCCTCCCGAGTAGCTTGGACTACAGGCATGTGCCACCATGCCCAGATACTTTTTTGCATTTTTAGTAGAGATGGGTTTTCATGATGTTGGTTAGGCTTGTCTTGAACTCCTGACCTCAAGCAATCTACCTGCTTTGGCCTTCCAAAGTGCTTCTTACAGGCGTAAGCCATCACACCCGGCCTCACTATTGGCACCTTCTATCCCACTTTGCTGCTGGATTATTTCACATTAGCCTTTATCACTAATAGGATTTATCATTAATAAATATCATTAATATCTATTAATAGTAAATATCATTAATGTTTTAGGTACTTCCTTATTTACCGTCTGTCTTCCCTAGTAGCATATAAACTTCAAGGGAGCAGGGTTTTTTGCCTGTCCGTGTTCATTGCTGTATCCCTAGCATGTAGAACAGTCCGGCATGAATGAGTACTCAGTAAATACTTTGTGGAATAAGTAGATCAGATCTGGGAAGTTTTGCTAGAGTATATTTCCCTCTGTTTACAAGAACTTGGTGCCCTGAGACTGTGAAGAGAAGAGCTTATACTGATGTAAAATATGAAAACGTAGCATCCCAGAGATCTGGGTGGGGCTCGGTCACTCCTCCTTGCCCCTGGGCAGCCAGAACTGACTCAGGAGGCAGAACCCCAAAGCGTTCTTCTGCCTCAGACTGGATTTTCCCCTCCTTCCAGCCCAGCCCAGCTGCCTCCAGTAGAGGGCTTGGCTGGGAACTTCAGGCTTGACCTTTTCTCTGGAAAGGATGAGCACTGGGCCTCCACCCTTGGAAGAGGGAGTGGCAGGTGAAGATGACCCACAGCTAAACGGCTGCTAGCTGCCTTTCATTCAGTTTTCTTGGGATTCCCACAGGGCCTTCCTAGGGAAAAAAAATCAATACCATCCTCCTTGGACTTGGTTTTCCAAGAAAGCAATGCTCTTCGCTGGGCATGGTAGCTCACGCCTGTAATCCCGGCACTTTGGGAGGCCAAGGCAGGAGAGAATCACCTGAGCCCAGGAGTTCGAGACTAGACAGGGAATGACAGGGAGATCTCGTCTCCACACATAATTAAAATAAAATAAAATAAAAAACTAGTGGGGCATGGGGTAGTGTGCACGTGTAGTCCTCACTACTCAGGAAGCATCCGTCTTGTCTCTCCAGATAAACTGAGCATTTGCTGACAGCACAGACCCTGTTTTATTCACCTTCGTTTGCCAGTACTTTAGAGCATGGTAGTTGCTCAGTAAGTTTTTATGGCTTTAAGGAAAAGCACATGGAACACAATTATGCTCAGGGCTTGGTGTGTGCTAGAAGCTGGAAGGGGCTAACCAGTGAGTTTTCCTTAAAGTGAAGATCTATGATATGGGGATTAGCCATGGATGGGAGGACTACACAGCAACATGCCTTGAGGTTGGAGCCGAGCCGCCTGCCTGCGTACCGTCACTGCTGCCTCTGTAACACGAGCTGACTTACTAAGTTAACTGTGTGCTAAGTGTTGGTCTAGGCATTCCACACAGAGTATCTCACTTAATTCTCATAGCATGTTGAGGTAGGGACTGTTGTTACACATATCACGTGCATATCAGGGGCTGCGCTGTTTGCGGGGGTAAAGGCTATGAAGCAGTTGGCGCAGACGCCACGCATGTATGTTGAAGGTAAAGGGAGGAGTCAGGAAGAGGGACTTCATCGGCATAGAAACCGCAGCAAGTGACACATGAGGTAGCATGTGCTTTTCAGAGCAGACAAGCCCAGTGCCTTCAATGCTAACACCATCGGTATCAAGCTGCACAGGGTCTCAGAAACATCCTTCAGGATTCCCCAGTCCCTGGAAGTTCAAACTTCAAAAGCCCACCCTAGGAGTCAAGGGTCCCAGCCCTGTGAACATTTGTCTGATGTGCTGCCTATTATTGGTCCAGTCAGCCAGCTTTCTTCCCATTTGAACTAGCAGTGAAATAATTATGAAACCACCCTTACTGCCCCCCACCCCCAACCTACTGAAGTCTTCCTAGAAAAGCATCCTGCTGTTTTTCACTGTAACTCCCATCAGGCAGAAAGCCCCGGAACGCCGGGCAGGGAAATGTTCACCCGACCCAATGAGGCCTCCCTGGGCCCTCCTTGCCCCTCTCCCACTCCCAGTTCCCCAGCCCCATGTCTAGGAACCTCTCTGGGTCCTCTGGCAGTGGTGGTGGGGCCTCTGTTCTGCTCCTAATCCCCTCCCTCTGTCCTAAGAACACTCTCTCCAGGCTCCCAACTGTGAGTGACACATCAGATCCGGCAGCACAGGGTGCTCTTGGATGGAGACAAGGTAGGAGGGTGACGGATGGTGACAGGATATAAGAAATTCAGAGAGCAAGAGAAATTGGAGAAGGCAGCAAGCCCACTGCCCTCCCTTCCAGCTTGGAGGCTAGATCTTTAGACAAGGTCTGTAAATAACATCAGAGTGGCCTCTGGTTCTGTGTTTGAACTGTGACGTTCTACTCCCCAAATAGAACTTGACTATCTGATCCAGGCATTCCCTGGGCCTGGGGGAGCAGCAAGAACCTATCCCTCCCCTTCAGGGTACTCTAGAGCCAGGACCCAGGACGCCTCCCCAGCCCCGGCCCCCACCACCCAACTCACACATCTACGAATCTGTGAGGTTGTACTGAAGGTATGGTTTGTGTGACCTTTGCAACACACCCATGTCCCTGAAGCACCTGAGGTCAGAGTTTTCAACAGTTCGTAAGAGAGACAAGTAGTGCTGTGTTTTCTCCCTGAAAATAAGCAGAGATTCTGATGCTCAGGGAACACCAGAGTGGGCTCAAAGGTCACTTTCTGTGGTCAAGCTCCACAGAAATTCAACCACTCGCTCCCCTGTGTTTTGGGTCACCCAGGAGGGCCTGAAGAGTGTGTGCAGTGGGCAGTCCCTATGGGAGGGACCG